TGGAGTTCAGGTGAAGACAATGATCCCCTGTCTCAGCAGCAGGGAGCTCCCAGCCCCTGTTCTGCAATCATGAGGCCAGAGCTGGGAGTTCCCTGCTGCCAGGGCAGGGGGACATAGGTGGGCTCCAGTGGTAGAGTCCACCCTTGAAGCAAGCAGCTCCCAGGGGAAGGGAGCAATTTCCTGCCCTCTGCTGCCCAGGTGTCTACACGTGCACTACCATGCAGTAAGTAATTGAGAGGAAAGTTGCTACCTGTAAATTTACAGGTAGCAGATATACTTGTGGCTACATGCTACATTTTAATCCAGGGATGGGAAAAATATAGCCCATGGGCCAGGCCTGCTAGGGGATTTTGTCTGGGACAGTGGGTTATTTGGTCCTGCCTGGCATAGGTACAGGGGGCAGCCTGGGCTGTGGTGTGTGCAGCTGGTCATGCAGAGCACACAGCAGGGCTTCTGCTGCTGCTGGATTCAGCCCCGCTACCTAGCCATCCTGGCCCATTTGCCCACATGCTGCTCAAATAGAATAGGGCCACAGGTTGGTGGGAAGTGGTGTCAGGACAGGACAGGTGGACAAGGCCAGGATCATGGGGCAGGATTATGGGATAGTGACAGCACAGGACCAGATCCAGGGAGATCCGCGATCTGTTCCTCACACACCCCTGCCTGCAGAACCAGTGTCCATTGCAGGGGCATGTGGGGAATGGATCATGCCTCTGCCCCAGGCCCTGGCCCTGCACTGTCATGGCCTTGCAATCCCAGCCCTGGCCCTGCCCACTCATCCTGCTCCTGGATGCTGCTCCCTGCATGTCCATGGCTCCATTCCAGCCGCCTGGTCAAGCGTGGAGCGGAGCCATTTAGGGAATTTTGGTGACCTGTTGCAGGGCAGGGGTCCAGGTACTGACCCAGCCCAGAACAGCTCACCAAAACATCCTAAGTGACCCTCAGGGCCAAATAATTGCTCACCCCTGTTGTAATCCCTTTAATTCATTGCCACTGAAGCAATTTTATAACTGAAGGCTGCTTGCACATGATAAAAAAGTGGTACTTCACTTTAAACATGCTCCCATGTCAAGCCCAGTGCAGGCCCATAAAAGGAAGCTTGTTAGTTGGACCCAGCTCACCTGATGTCTGTATAGATCAGGTGCTTTAGTGGGGCTTTTTTTACACTTTAATCTAGTAGCTGATTGAATCAGCTTTAGGTGAAAGTGCCAAAAAGCCCCGCTGAAGATCCCAATTTATATAGACGCTGCAGAGCCAGGTCAAAGTAACATGCTACGTCTTCCAGTAAAGTGCAGTGGGGTTTGGGGTTTGTTTTTTTTTAACATCTGTAAGCAGCCAAAATTTCTAGTACCAAAGCAAATAGTAAAGGAGAAATATAATGTGGCCTTGTAAATATATAGACTAAAAATTAATAAGAACAACTCCAAATTCAGTGCTTACTTGCTCTGTAAGTGAGTTCCTTCTAAGTGTTTACATGCTCTGAAGGCGGCTAAAGCTGTTCATTGACAAAATGGGAGAACTGAGCACATCTCTTGATGAAATAGAATCATTTTCCAAAAGACGTCTTGTCTGGGTGAGTAGCTATAGAGACCACAGGCAGGGTAGAGCTTCACCTTATAGGTTAATTAAATCAGAGATGCATAAGCTTTTGTGAGCCTGATCTCACTTCATCAGATGCTGTGACAGGACAAGCAAAGAGTATATAATGCAGAGAATGATTTGAATACAAAAGACAGCAAAGGGAGGGAAGGAAGGAGGATGGGGTGAAGTGGGTGGTGGTAGGAAAGGCAAACAAGTAATGAACCCATAGGGACCAAGGGGACAAGTCCAGATGAGCACACACATGCGTTTCCCTGGGAACAAAGAGCAGCAACACATAGTTGTGCCACTGCTGCTTGTCCCAGGGAGCACTCATGCACATGTGCTCTGGCACACAGCAAGTTGCCCCAGGTGGGACAGGGGAGGCTAGGGCCTTACCTGGGGTCCTATGGGCTTCCCGGGGCTCCAGCAGTGGCGATCCAGTGCGTGGAACTGGGCTGGCAGCTGGAGCATGGCTCTGGCCAGATGGGCTCTGGTTTCAGGCAGCACACATTGGAGGTACTA